AGTAAAAAAATTGTCAAAAAATAATATGTTTCCAATATTTTCATTTTGTAATTATTTAAAATTATGTAAACAACATTTCCAAAAAGACTAATTTATTCCTTGGAAATTAGTAAAGATTTAAAAATAATCACCTTGGTGATACATAAACTATATGCTCAATAAGCAATGATATTTGTATTTATGTTGAACAATTTAAGTGTAGGAATGTATATAAAATATGTATCCATTACATATAATAAATAATATATTACATAATATTTAAAGTAATTATTATTCAAACAACTACAGTCAAGGTACAATTATGATAATTAAAATATGCATATTACGCTATAAATTACGAAAAACTTTCAGATCCCTTAAAACCAAAAGCAATTGTCAAGTTTTTAGTCTAAATTTAAGTTTAAATTAAATTTTTTTTTTATCGAGGTAAAAAAATTATAAAACAAACAAGTTGGTGTACCGTATATTTATTGCGAAAGTTACATTTTATATCAACAGTTTTTAAAACTTATTAAAACGAAAACTTATTTTTAATGGTTTGTGGAATTTCCATTTAATAACATTGTACTTAAATTTTAAGTTTTAATTTTAGAAAAATTCTTTTAAAAAACTGTTAATGTTACTTATTGTATTATAGTTTTTTAGTGGTTTATATTTAAATAAACAGTTTAGATTTTAGGTAAAATTTGCTCGAGAATAGATTAGTGTTTCTTTTAAGTAGTTAAATACATACAATTTTTTATTTCTCAGAAAAATTTGCTTGGAAGTTGAGTACAAGATTTATTATAAGTAATTCTTATAGAAATCAAAAATCATCTCGAAAATACATTGTCACAATTTCAGTATTTTATAGAAGATTGGAGTTGAAATTTTAGTACGAAATTCTATTCAATTTAACATGAAGATCAAAATATAGATCACTATTAATTTTTTTAAGAAATTTAAAATCCATTAAAATTGTTATTTATCTGATAATTAACTTTAATGGATTTTTCAAATGGTTTTAATTGATGAAAATGGTATAATTATAAGCCTCTTCAAGGTTTTGTTTTTGTTGCCAGGAATTCCATTGATGGATATCCTATAATTGAAAAGGAACAGGATCCAGCCTAAGTATTTTTTATCTGTTTTTGTTTCGCTGCTCGTAAGGAGGGATATTATCACACCCAGCAAAATTAAGACAGAGGAACGAAAAACAACCATCGACTAGTGCAATATTTATGGATTTCAACCACCAAGGCCCTATGGACACATGATCTAATCCCAAACGTAGCCAAGTGGTTGGAGAAGGCGATCCCTAAGGTTCCCTCTAACATTCCACATCACGCTGGTACTCTCTGGACATTGGCGCTGTCAGCACTACCGCCACAGTATGGGTAACGTGAGCAGTCTACGCTGCATGCACTACCTTTTTCAGTCGGGCACTGAAGAGCACACCCTGTTCCTCTGTCTGAATTTGGTGGGACTTGAGCTAATCTTGGCACCCACCTTGGACGTACTAAATATGCGGCTTATATGGCTGACATTCTCTACGGCTGGTATTTGAAGACCTACTACTTAATCCCACCAAGATGAAGACTTCCTTGAACTAAGTTAAGAAGACGTTTATAATTTGTTATAAAATGGTGGAGGTGATTATGACTTTTAAGGAAGTCGTGAAGAGGGCTAGGCAGGCCATCGAGGGACGAGTTTAGCACGGGGTTCTAAAGCGCCGGGCTAAGGTTGGGTCATGAAAAGCTTAGGCACGGTTAGACGACCAAGGTGGATGACAGTAAATCGGCTCTAAAAATAAAAATAATAAAATAATATGTGATTGGTAGACTAGTGTGAGGGTTGGTAATTGTGGGGCATGTCTTGCACATCTCACTTAAAGTTTATATTATTGTTATGCTTCAAATTTCAATATATGAAGTTACATTAGGGCCAATTCTTGAGAAAACACTGTTCAGTTGGTAAATATGTGCATTGTGCAAGTACTTAGGAATGGCGATCCAAAAAGATTGTGGTTTTGAGAAATACATCAGATTAACGGTATTTGCGTGATATACGGAAACCCTGCCAATCATGTCAGAAAGTAGTAATGTAAAGTGCTATTTATTAAACGTTTTAATTATGAATAGTTTTATTATGTACAATAACTCAAAAGATGGGAATGTGCTGACTACTGACACAACTCTTTTGGTTTATCCAGATAGGTGAAAAAAGGTGTAAGTAAAGGAGAACAGAGCAATAGTGCTAAATTTAGGATAAGTGCTTCTGCTCCAACATAGCTGGAAGAAAAAGGGGAAGAGGAAGAAGAAAAAATGGGGAAGGAGTATTTATTTAGCTATTTTGTGCAAGCTTGATAGATTATTTCAGTTGTAAAAAAAAGATTTTATACCAATAAAAATATGTATATACTAAAATTTAATAGACACATTTATAGTCTATAATATTTACATATAATGTTTACAAATTGAAGACTATTCCTAATAATAATATACAATAGTTATGTGACTGAGGAAAAAGTGTACAAATTGGATAAAATTTTCTACAGAAAATAATTCTCAAAAATATTGTTTGAACCTAATCTAGTAGACGAGAAAAAAATTAAAGATTACTAAAGATTAATAATAGTGAAATATTATTTAATGCCGAGTTATTATTCTAATTTTAATTTCAGTAAGCAGTTGTTTAAATAAAAACCGGGGAAAAATGTTTATATTAACTTTTTATTTAATTAATTTGTAATCCTTGGGTAATAAAATATATAAAGTGCTCATAAACATCTCTTCGCTAGATCACAATTTAGTAGGTGTCTCCAAGCATTTCATTAACCACCACGTTCTCTCGAGGGCGACATATATTTTATAAAAGCTGATAAGACTCATTCACTATAGCCACGGCCTGGATTTTTTTTAAATAAAGGAGTTCAATATATTAAAACGGACATTAATAACTTGAGTTTAGTTTACTATGCATTTCTAAATGTCATATGAATACTTCATTTGATAACCGTAAGTGTAATTACTTAATATTTTAATAATTTTTAATTTAATTTTGATATTTATTACATGGTCTGATTTGAAACCAACTAAATTTATGTCGCTACATAATAAAATACGGTTGTGGTTAAATTGCTGTCTTATAGGTCCACTGCAGGATAATCCAGGACACAGCATATTACGGACAGAATTTTTAGTACCAAATCAAACATTACCGCTGAAATCACATCCCTTATTAATCTGAACAAAAAACTCCGTGCTAGATTCATCCGAAATATGCAGTGATTACTGTGTATGTTTTAAAATAAAATATTCAATATATTGACTAAAAAATAATGATAGTATAATTTGACTAAATAAGTTGCTTAGTAATTCGTAGTATTACATTCATGTGTAACTGAATTTACTGAAAAATGTATTATTCCTAGACCAACTAAAAGAATGTTAGTTTTTTAGGAATACCAGTAGGAACAGTATATTGACTATGCACGGTGGACATTAAACATAATATAATACAATTAGTTATCAAAACAACGGTGATCATGATAATAATAATAATTACAGTTAAGATCTAGATAATAAAGTAATATAATTATGATAATGATCAAAATAATAAGGATAATGATAACGACGACGATTTGGAACCCATATTAGCGCTTTTAGAAAGTCCATTACGGCTGCCACTGACGTCGTTAAACTTTTCCCCGTTTTGTTTTTATTTATATTGATATATATATATTTTTTTGGAAAGTTGGTTCCGTGGTATTTAATTGGACACTGGTACAGCAGAACAATCGTAAGCTAAATATATTCGTATACGTCTTCTTTCAAGGCAATTCGACCAAAACTGTGCTAGATGTCGAATACTTATGTTGAAGTAATATTGACCCCTTTTTTATTGCCATATTGCTAACATGCATTTTTTCACAAGTATGACGAAATTAATTTAATCTCATTAGGTTTTACTGTATTATTTTTATTCTGATATAAAATATGTAACACATATAATTTTTATTAACATAATGTTTAAGCTCTTCCGATAAACTTGATCTATCAATTAAAATCAAATTAGTCAAATGATGGCACAAAAATATTATGTACCTATTTATGTGGAGGATTAATTTTGTACTGCATTAAAGTGAAGTAAAACATGAGATTGAACTAGTAAATCTATTTGGTGCATTAGGGAGGTAAAAATTGAAAATGAAAACAAGTTTTTGAAGGCGTTGGGGGGAAAAATAAAGAAAAAAGGGGTATTTTCAATCATTTTTCGGTGTACTTTACTTCAATAACTAATAATCGTAGACATTCGACGTTTTCTTATATTAGCATTTTCCTTGTATGGTAACATTTTCAAAATGTATCAAATTTTGTAAATCATCTTTTTCTTTTCATAACTAACATTAAAAACTTAACAGAAGACTCCCCACATATTTTTCAATCTTAAAAAAAAGTTACCCTTTTGATAGCTATGAGATATTTTGGATTTATTTTCAAATTCTTCACTCAGAAACGTTCTTCACGTGCAATGATTTATCGTTGAATTCAAATATAACACATCCATTACAATGGCGTACTCGACAACTACTGCACATCAGAGGTACTCCGTTGTCCACATTTTTTACAACAATACTTCTGCTTACTTTATAAATACTCATACATTCAAACGTATGTACTGACAAAAGTATCGATAGTTATCGGTTATCGGTTATAAAATGCAAGACAGGGTCGTAAAAAGAAGAATAATTCTAAGTTATAAATTATAATATATTTAAATAATAATAATAATAATAATAATAATAGTGTATATAATGTATAATCTGTGACAGTGACATTATAATACAATATAATAATATAATATATAAATACGTGTACTTCAATACAGTTCATATAAAAACGACAGGATTTTTTTTTTATGGGTAAAATAATAATTAAAAACAATAAAACACAATAAAAAAAATAAAACGATGGTGGGATCATAACTCCGTACAGTTAGTTAATTTTTTTTTTCTTTGAAAACTTTCTAAAAGTACTTGCAACAAAATAATAATAATAATAATAATAAAGATGAACGATAGATTTGAAACTGACTGAAAACGTGTGTAACATATTGGATGTATTTTGAAGTCAATCAGAGTAGTTATATCATTAAGTTGCAGATCATTAGTTTGATGTCGATTTTTGCATCCTGTATCGGTTTCGTGTCTTCTCGCATTTTTTGGCTAAAATTCAACAAATTAATATTATTGTCTTATAAGATTAAGAGATATTAAAATTAATTAATATACTTACTGATCTTAATCTTGTTGTCTGGACAGTTCTAAAAAAAAGATTCAACCGTTTATTACATAAGTATAGTAAATAGTGATAGGTAATGGATACTAATTCAAATGTAATTATAAACTGGAGTGTCAGGTCTTAAATTGTCAATGTATCTAACTTCAGAGTGATCATTTAATTTTGTAAAAAAATGAAATGGTACAAAAGTGATCACTTGCAAGTTGTATACTTCATATGTATATTTATGTGGAGTTATTAATTATTATTAGTAGTACGGGCTAACTTCTAATGATAAACTTTGTGTAACATAATTATTATTTATGTGTATTTAATGGCCAAATGAGTATGTCAGTATTATGCAAATATCAAAAATGTATTTTTTGATTTTTGAGAAAAAGTTTAGAATGTATAATATTCTCTTGTTGAATTTAATGCACTATATTATTCATTACCTAGTTTATAGAATATTTTTTTTTTATTAATGGTAAAATATTTTGTATTTATAACTGGATCAAAATAAATATTTTATTCAAATTCTTAGCATAATGGACCCTGATAAATAGTGTTTTTTTGTGTTATTTATGAATGCAATAAATACTTATTCAACATTATGTATAATTATCTTGATCATCGATCAGACAAAAGACATTAATATTTGATTTCAGCTGAGAACTTTAAAGGTATTTCATTTCGCATTTTCCAAAATATTATTTTCTTATTGTAATCACTCAACTTATTAAATTCATGAACATTAATCCCTAATACGATCATTAAATCACTTCATCAAAAGTACTAATAAATATAATATAGCAAGAAAAAAGTAAGTTCGCCTACCTTGAGTTTTATTATTCTTCGAATTATAAAGATACTACTGAAATATCATATTCATAGAAAATTGTAGACATATTATAATGACGCATATGTTAAATAATGTCTGAACTAGATGCATATACTATATATCAATATGCACATAGGTAATATTATGTACCTACCGCCAATTATTATTTTAAGTTTATTTTTTATATTTTTTCATAAATATATAGGTTTCTAATGAATGTTATAAAATATTACGTAGAATTCATATCATATATTAAATGACAAATACATTCGTGACTTTTCTTCATAGATCACGTTCGTTTGATTTTATAACATTTGAACTACCAAAAAGAGTAGGTGGTGCTGACTGGTTGGCACTTACACTTCACAAAAATGATGCTGTAGTTCGAATAAAGAATCGACACAAACTTTTGTACCAGAACGTACATTTTTTGTAGCACAATAAAATGTTACAAGCTAAAAGCATGAAACAGAAAATTGAAGTAAAAAATGCACGTTACAAAATGAACACAAAATATGTAGCTTAAAAGTTTAAGGTTGAAAGGAGTGTTTTGAAGCAATGAAAATACATCTTAAACTGAATTGTACGCTCGAAATATGTTTGTTTTGTGTTGAATATTAAATTCTATAGATGAATTGTCAAGTTGATATCATTAGTAATTCTGAAATCGTTTTTATAAAGTGTATAAGCACTATATTACAGTTTCTAGAAATTCCAAAGACTAATTAGGTATTCACAAATCAATGTTTAGGTTTTCATTAGGTTTTCTACGTGAGAGGATTTCGGTGTCGGTTTATTGTACGTCATGCCTCATGAAATACTATTACTATTATTGTACCACCCCGGTTGTGTGATATTCGTAAGCGTTGTTTTCGGAAAACAGAACGAATTATTAGTTAATATGATGCGCTTGAGCGTAAAAAATACAAAACTGGAATGAACAGCATTGTTTTGAACTTACCGATTCGTATTGCAACCACAGGCAGTGTTGGAATTGTACGTATACTGGATTACACACGTTTTCTTTATCTTCTGCTGGCCACGGTACTGAAACAAATCGTATGATGTCACAATAATATTAAACAATGGCCAGTTTCATGTGTGAGATATGGTAAAGGTCATGTTTTAGGTACATGGTAATAATATCATTTCGGTATTATATGTATACATTGCTATTCGGTTGAAATTATTAACGCGATTAATCGATAACGCAATAGCGTGATCAATCGGTTGCAGAGTTCGATTGAAATAATAATTTGACAAATTAAGTCGAGTCAAAAGTTTGCATATACTAAACCGTTTTAATTGAATTGAAATCAAAGAGCGATAGGTAAATAGAAAATGGGTTTGTTATAGTATTTATTTGTGTATGTTTATGAATTAATGTACTCGTAACAATACAAATACTATGATAGCTATATGTGCTACATTATGCTGAAGCCATCATACAATCTAATTTCATTTTCAAATACAGAAAACGCTACAACAAATAAATTGAACATTGTATAAAAATCGATATTTTCAATAATAATTGTATTCATTATTATTATACTATTATGTTTTCAAACTCATTTTATTATTGAAATGCAATAACAAATATACAAATTAACTGTCGTATATTAAATATAGCAGTGCATCATGTTATTCAAAAATAAATAAATTTCATCGAAATTGGATGATTGTATAGCAAATTAATAAATAACGTCATTCAAACCACCATAGGGCGTCTATTTTAATATTGCAATTTATACCGATATTATAGTTCTTAAAATGTGTAAGTACATATAAAGGCACTTCATTTTTATAGTTGTTTCCATTTTTAAATATTGTAATATTACAATTTATATTAATTTTGAATATTGTTTTATTTTAAAATCGAATAAGAGGCGCTCGTAGTGAATAACGTCGTCTTCAGTTAAAATCAACGAACTAAAATATTGCTTACTGTAGTGGAATATAGTCTGGTCATTAAAAACTATTACGATATCGATAGAATAATTGTACGATAAACATGATCAACTATAAAAAAATCTAGAATGTTTTTCACACTAGTGTCCACACTCGATGGGTCATGTTTTTAAGCTGGTCCGAGATTTGATATGTGAACTAATTACGATGGTAATAATTTAAAAATCTCCCGAATAAAAAAAATACATATAATACCGGTTTTGAATGACTTCCGGTATGTTAGCAAACACCGTTAACCATAATGGGGAGTTTGCCGTTTCCACATGGCTCATATTACAAAGCAACTTATAATGCGGCAATCGTTTTGCTAGGTATACTCGTATAGAAAGTACTTACCCCTACGCGAATAACAGCATTTATTAACCTTTTGGTCGAACAATGTTAACTTATATATTTTTTTTTTGTACGGACCGTTAACATTGATAGATTTTCACTTTAAAACTCATTTGTGATAGAAATACAAATAGATTTTCATTGATACATAATATTCTATTTTATACTATTTGTGTGGTATTTTTTATTTTAAATATAACATAATTTAGAAGTCTTTAGTGCAGTTTTAATATCAAAAAATATACTTGCGATACACGAGTAGCATTTTAAATTTTGAGTTATTCAATAAATTATATTGAGAAACTAACAGGGAACCAATATTGATGCAGTTATTTTTTTTTTCGAAAAAGTACTAGATATTAATACAATAATAATAATAATAATAATAATAATAATAATAATAATATAAGAATTTTGCTGTTTTTCCAAAATGTTATATTTGCTTGATAATTTTCATAAAAATTAACTATTTCTATAAAAGAAATATTTCCTATGCAACCGATTAGAGAATTTTGCTGTTTTTCCAAAACGTTATATTTGCTTGATAATTTTCATAAAAATTAACTATTTCTATAAAAATTAACTATATCTATAACAACCGATCAGAGAACCAATCAATATCTTATTCCAAAATTAAATATTTCCAAATTTTTAAATTTTAAAACTCACAATGTTGTCTCCATGTTATAGATAATACCATTGACCATCATGAAAATAACCTTTTTACAAAACGCACCATTTTTACAATATTAAATTAATTTTTAAGAAAAATAGCTTGAGAGCAAAATTAGGTTGTTCAAAACAGTAGGTACATACGCATGTTCTCGACTCTCGAGGAACTTTACTGTGAACAGTTCTCAGCGGTTGTGATCTTTGTTTGTCCATATTTTATAGGTACATTTTATAATTGTGTTATTTTTTCAAAAAGTTTTATAAAGGCTAATATCGGCTCATCGGGCGTACTGTTTTGTGCGGTGCTCACTGCCGTGTAAAATTGCATACAGACAATAATAAGATATGTGGGTGCACTTACTGTAGGTCTCCTCGAGGCATTTGTCCAAGGCCTTTTGCCCCACTTGTTTCTGCCACTGTTCTTTGAAGACGCTCTTCATTGCGTAATCAGCTATGAACGTTTTGTTCAGTGAACCGTCTTCAGTGAGCTAAATTAATTTTAAATTACATAGTTATTTTTCTATTATTATATTTAATATTAATTTCCATACCAATCTATTTTTCTTGCCAATACACTCGTGAAGGCACTGGAACAAAAATTAAAAAATAAGTGTTTTAATTAAAATACACGAAATGCAATGAGTACATTTATTTTAAAAAAGTACTCACAAATTGCTTCTTCTTGGTAATCTTTACCGCATCGGCGGAAAACAAGTCTTGTTTGGGAGTAGTAGCTGTAAAATCACCAAACATAATAATATTGAATTAAGATATTTTGTTGTATTGGCTAACTATTTTTCTTTCAATTAATGTCAATTTTTTATTTCATTATGTATCTACTTGATAGATACTTTATAGATTTATTTTTAAATCATCAAAAATTAATATGTCTACCCATTTTAAACTATTTAATATTTTTAAACCTCCCAGTTGCTCGATCGCGACATTTTGAATCAAAAATATTAAATATAACCAACACAGAATATGATTAAATAATAGCTAGTGGAAATTTAATAAAAAAATAAATTAAATAAGAGCTGATCAGAAAAAAAACACTAGAAACTAATAAATTTTTAATTTAAAAATGCTATACAGCATAAGATAATAATAATAAAAAAATGTTAATACAAAATATAAATTTGTAATTATGATTGATTGGGTATTCCTTATTTTAAATTTGTGATTTTTTCAGATTATCGCCCTTCCCCCTCAAAAAGTTCAATTACAAAAAAGTTCCATGTAAATTTATTAATTTTAACAAATGTCACAAAAGCTCTAGAGTTACAAAAATAGACAATTTATATTGTTTATACCAACTTCATTATTCATCCAACTTTAAGAACAAATGTATTGAACATGTATAGTGCATAATGTGTATACATGTTTTTTCGTGTGTTATGAACAAATCGCAAATGTTTGACCAAAATGGATGTGATTTCAATGAAACAGAGAAAACAGTTCAAAGTATAATATTAATTGAAATGTCTAGAACTTAATACGGTAGTAACCCCGTGCGATTTCACGACGCCAATTTGCATATAAAATGTACTGCAAATTAATTTTCGTGTACGTTTATAATAGCACCAGCGTGATATTATTCTATTATTATGTGCACCAATTTACTAAAACAAGATATTAATCATCAACTTACTACATCGGCACACCGAACCGTGGACTCGAAAGTCGAAATTTATTAATCTGGACATGTGCATATTATTATTATATCGTACGTCATACGTGTATGTTAGTGATTTCACGTAGCTGACTGAGCGCGGAGAATATTAGTTTTTGTTAATGTAAAATGACATTCGTGTTACCCAATAGTAATTTCGCGACGAAAAATAACTTCGATATTATATACCAACATGATGTTCGCCACACATGCGCTTGTATATTATATAGTCTAGATTTTAATCCTGAACTTGTCAATTTAGACGAAGGGGATAATTTTATTCAAATCCTTTTACTGATCCCTTTTTTTATTTTTAATTAATTCGAGACTTACCTACTGTACATACCAAACGGATTTGTGAAAAATACAAGTGACCATCTCATATAATATGCATGGGTTTGCGCGAGGGGACAAGTGCCGGCGATAAATATTTTACAGAGAACGATCGACACTCAAACTTGTATAACTATTATTAAACAAGTTTGAATTTTTGTTGTCACCTCGAATCAGAGTGTACTGAATTTTTATTGAATGAAAATAATAATGAAAACCTGTCGTTTGTATTTTTTATTTATCGATATTCATTCACACTTCTCAGTACTACTGACCAGTATAAAAACGATAGAAAATAATATGTGAAGTAAATAAAATGGTAAAAGTTATTTGTCAAGGGGCCAAAATACTTAGTCCGAAGGCGTTCTGAGAGAGGGTTCAAGTTTTTAGTTCCCCTGTGTATTTTTTATTTTTAAACTTGAGTGTGGAGTAGTAGTATAGACAGTATTTTAGTTTTAATATAATATACTTGGTTTGAAAATACTTTTAAAACGCAATGCATGATATATGATGTTGGTATTCTTAATATTATTGTATATTTTATTAAGTAGATACGTAAACGTTTAATGTTCAACGTGTTTAAATTCAACTCTTCCACTAAGAGTTTTAAAATATAAATCAAAGAAATCGCTTGTAGTATAGTTTGTAGGTGGACATTAATGAATGAAATAAAATTTTTTTTATAACTTAAAATAGTTAACCTTTACACATTATCACAACTGAAACACTTTTTACCTATACGAAATTCGAAAACCATTTTAAAATTATTTAGATTACCTACTCGTACTTCTATGTGTTATGTTTCTCAGATATGTTTGTTTTGATTTCATTAGTTAAGTTGAATGTCCGCTTATTATAAACGCGAAGGAGAAAGTTTAGAGGTCAAAAACGCAGAACCTTCAAATTCGTAGTTGAATAGAAACCATAAAATAGAAAGTTTCAACTCAGAATTATCGCGACGTGATTAGATTATTAAAAACTCGATATGTATTATTTACATATTTTGCTAACCTTTGCCAAACTATTTGAAATAATACAATTCGATAATATTGTCGTGTCTTATACGATCGATGCTCGTACATAATTATTCAAACATTATTAAAATAAATAAATGCATTAGGTACTTCTTATTTTGTTAATTCAAACCGGTCTATTGGAATTAATAGGTTAATACCGTTCTACTCTTAAATAAATCAAAACATTATTGGTTCTGTTCTATAACACCTACTTATGGTAATTAATAGGGATATTATATAATAGAAGACTATATAGTTATAACATTTTCGATATTCGATGCCATCGTAAAATAACATTGAATATAAAAGTCATATTAGGTAAATTTTGTTTATGATAAAATATTTGAAAAAAAAATATGATGTATATCTAATATTATAATACGGATTAGGTATTCTAACCATGTTGGTACGATAATTAAAATTTGGTAAAGAATAACGATTAAAAAATGTAGCTATATATGTTTTATATTGACATGTTCAATGGTAATTTATCTATATGAAATAAATAGACTTTGTTAAATAAATCCTAAATGGACTAAGTCAATTTTGAACATAATTTAATTTACCTGCAACCGTTGCAAACTTCTCTGCTACTTGTGCGTAACACTCGTCAGCTGCTACTTTGTCTTTATCGCCGAATCGCTTCATTGCGTTTTCCGGGCCACAACATGACTTTAAAAAAAAGTTTCTTTTTAATTTTTTTTGTACATATACAGGATTTGATTAAAAACTAAGGGTTTTTGTTTTAGTTTATAAATCCTTCTATTTTTATAACATTGCGTCGGAGAATTGTTTGTGGTCAAAAAATCTCATTAAGTTTTCGTTGGAGTGGTTGCTAACAAAATCAAACGTTAACCAACCTAATCTACTACCAACCTAGATGTATCTAAAAAAAAAAAGTTCCCTGATAATTAAGAGTATTTTGCAAGACCTTAAAAAATGGATTCTCAAGAAATGATTATATACTATATATGATTATAAACTATACCTACTAAAATTACAATACTAAATTTCATTTTTTTTTTTAAATAGAGAATAATAAATTATTATGCAAAATTTTGAATTTAAATATAAATAATAAATTGTATATATATTTTATTTTTTATGAAATAAATAAACATTTTTCAAGTATAGATATTCTTAATTGGTACGTAATTATGAATTATATAAAGGTATTTATTTTCTATAAAGCTCAATATTTTATATTTTTGTTCAGAATGTTTTGTTACAGCGGTTAATTTAATTGTTATATATTTAAAAAAAAATATTAAATAATTTTAATATATTTTTTATTTGGGATTTGATTAAAAAACTTAGTAAGCACAATTGCGTTGTTCTTGTCTACTCTTTTATAGAAATTACATAAGTAGTATGTTATAGGGAAAAACAAGCATTACTGTTTAATTTCTCAATCAAGTTTATTGACCCACACTGTACTCGACAAGTTAATTAAAATCGACTACTCAATCGAATATTTTACCAAGTTAAATCAGACTAAAGTTTTTACATTGAGTACTTCACAAGTCTTTAGTATATGATTTTCATTAGAATTAATTAAAAATTTAAATAATTATCCAATTTAGTTGTTTTTGTCTTAAGTATTTACTTTTGTATTGAATATAAATAATATAAATTTCATGATAATAAGATAATTTAAACAATTTAAAACGCCAACCAGATGTAAACTTACTTCTTCAGAAACGGATAAAACATATTGAAGTATATTTTGTTTAATTAAAACAAATTTTTTTTAATTATTTTCAAACAAACTTATTTAAATTTATAGTTATAAAATATTATTGTGTAACAGAAGTTGGTAGGTACCTACCTAAGTAAATAATATTCAATTGAAATAATAAAATGAATACTTAGTTTTTTTCAAAAGAAAACTTTAAATTAAGTTACATTTTATTATTTTTTTATACAATTTCGAGGAAAATAATCTTAGAACAACATACACAATATTGTGTTTAAAAATAAGTACCATTAAAATCAATATTTTTCCGATCCATATTTTTATTTTTAAAGATTTTGGAATTTTGTGTTACCTAGAAATAATATTATAAGATAATCTGAGTTAGTATATTTTATGAAATGGGCAGTTTAGTGTAAAATAAGATCAGATGAGATTATAACCATTATAATTTGTAACCAATGACATTTTAATGAAATTTTCCCCTGTATTTAAGTTATTTACGTGGAAACTATAAAAATCTTAGTTTTCTTTTCCTAAGTTACCTTTAGTTATTGAATAAACCAATCAAAGTCATTTGATATAATAAAAGTTTATTATAATGATATAAGTTTAACTTGTGTTACTGTGGAATATAATCATCAAAATTGTTTTTAAGCATACCTACTGTACAACAAAGGCAGTAACGCACTTATAGGTTATAATTTACTATTATTTCATAATTTAATAAAAATACAATATCACATAAAAACTGAAAAAATCACTTAAAATTAATTGTAAAAATGAATTATTTTCTTTGAGCGACTAAGAAAAAATTTCATTCATTGTGGATTATGATGCGAACTCAGGGAAACATTTCGAACAAAACGGTTTTATTGTAGGATAGCAGTCCTAACAAAGGAACTTTTACTTTTTCAATTAAATCAACTAGGACGATGGACTAAAATTATTATTTCCAAAAACGTCCAATACATTTTATGTGTATCACAATGGTTGATTGTGGTTGTATTTATTGCATCAATATTGTTATAAAATGACAATAAATTTATCAGAATGCGTAATCGAATTTTTACGGTGTAACGTAAATAAATGATTATGTACATGGTATTATTATACTATACACATATTATACGCGTTCGAGAGAAATCTGTTACACTTAACGAAGTGCTTTTGTCGCATTTTGGCGAAAGTTAACTTTTCTTTTGAAAACCAGGACACATTGTTGTCGACTAGGGCGTTCAGGTTATAATATGCTATCTTCAAATATTATATTTTTTTTATTACGGATCGGATTTAATATTTTAAAATATTGTCGCATAGGTGTATAATATATTATAATATCGTATATGAGTAGTATATATGTATATAAACAATCTTAGTGTATCACATTATACTGATAGTATATACGTTAATAGTTGTGTAAATACATGATTCAAACTGACTATGGTTTACCTTTCTGCTGGCTTGTTTGCACCGGAAGAAGTCGCTGTCTTCGGTGTCCAACAGCTCTTTGCCCCGTCTGTGGTGACCCGCATCCGCTAAAATAGCACGAAACGTTAGGTCAGCATAACATTATTGTACGATAAAACGACAACAGAATAGAAGAATTTATTGTATAAAACGAAAAATCTCATCACGAAGAATAAAATCTAGAGTTGTACCCACAAAATGTTTTATCAATATTATCATAGCTGGTAACTAATTATTTATAGTCTTATTACAATAATTATTGAAGACCAAATAATATTATTATTCTGAATGTCTAATTATATTTAGCTTAAAATCGTATAAATTAGCTTACTAAGTTTCTAAATGTCACTATTAATTGTATTTTACTGTGGCGTCATACGTTACTTGTACCTTTGGGTTTCAGTATACGTCATATAATTTTAATAAATAAATAAAATAGTATAAAATCGTTTGCACGCTCACCGAAAACGACGGATATTTGAAGCAGGACGACGGCCACCGCGATGCACTTGATCGTAGCAGAGTTAGCGGACATTTTCGTCGTCGGCGTTTCTCTCGTTCGTACAATGTATATAATATCGTTATAAAAAAACTGTGTGAATTATACGGAGCTCGGCGGTCAGACTCGTCTGGTGGTGCAGAGTATACTGCTGCGGCGTGATGTCCAACTTATATTATATACCGCGGTACAAGTCCAATAATAATAATAATAATAATAATAT